AAATAAAAACTAATTGTAACCCCACTTCTCATGTATAAACACTATCAGCATATTGGTAAATATCCTATCTTTTTCCTATGTTTAGATGGACATTGTTGTGGAAAAAAAAAAAAGAAGAGATCATATGCTGCCTAATGCTTTTTTTGGACCTATCCCTTTCACTTAATATTCTGCATATAGTTCCAATATCATTTTAATGTTACAAAATACATTCAAATGGAAGTTCCTCCTAGTTTTTTACCATATGTTATACTGTAATGAGCATCCCTGTTGCTCTTTGTGTGTGCCATTTTAGGATAATGTCTTGGAAGAAAAATTTTAAACACTCACCCCCACCATGCACACACCAACAGGTAGATACTAATATAAAAGATTTGCTTCTGAGAAACCCTGATCAATTAACAGAGATTGTGACTGAGAAGATTATTTGAAAATGGCTTATGTATAGCTGTTTTATTTCTGATGAAAATATGATAAGAATTGACTTGTTGTTTTTGTTCAGTTTAAATCCCTCTACATCATTTAACATATGAAATACAACTTTTAACAGTACAAGTGTGGCTTTCTTTGTTTCATGAATACGTGCCATATTCAAGGTGAAGAATGAACCAAACTTTGGGAGGACAGTCCCGTGTTGTATGTCTTCCCAACTGGCAGATGTTGCTTGATATTTTCCTGAAGATGCTGTCTTATAACATTACATGCTGGATAAAGAAAGGATAAAGAGAAAATCTTTTTGAAATCATGCAGCAGGAAGACTTGCGCTCAAGCCTGAAGATACCCGGAAGATACCCATCATCATTTTTCCATTTCTTTGACCTGGTCTGCAATTTCTTCAATAGCACTCTTTTTTTTTTTTTTTTTTTTTCATTTTCCCCCTAACTAGGGGCAACTCTATAGTTTTCACATCAAGAAGCACAAGTAAATTGTCAGGTTTATAGATGGTAATGAATACCATATTTAAAATTGACATAAATCTGGTAATTCCTTGAGCTTCATGTTTCAACTTGTCTTATAGTTTAGCTTGTAAATAAGTTATTTTCAACCTAGCATTGATGAACTTAGAACATACTTTTTTCTGTTAATAATCATTTTAGCCTTTATATGTTGACATATCTTTTATATTGTATCCTATGTCATTTACTCTCCATGTCTGGTGACAGATTGCCTCAGATCATGAGAATTTTTGCTACTCTTCTTGCGCCACTTCACTCCTCACCCCTGCATTTATCTGAAATTATAATGAGTTTTTCTTCTTTGCTTTTTAGTTTAAAATCTTACTGCTTAGAGCTTGGGAAGCATCTTTCTTGCGCCTCTTTGTATTCTGTACAGTGGACTAGGAACTCTTTCTTTCGATTTCTCCTCTCTTTGATTACCAAGTCTCTTGGGCTACCAGTGGGCCTTGTCTCCCAGTTTCTATTTCCAGTTTGTGATCACTGAATTCTCTATTTGGTAAGGGTCTGCCTGTGTTTTGCATATTTATAATAAGGAAGTATGCTAGTATGAAGCTCCTGGGCAAAGATATGGAGTAATCCAGCTTATTTGGGTGGGCTCCATTACTGCATTCCAAAACCAGAATTTTACGTTTTGTTGATTCAGGTGCAAATAGAAATGAGATATTATTTTGGTATTGTAATTAATGGAGAGATTCATCCTAGTTCTCTGCAGTTATTTTGAGAAGTGTGTGTGCTTTTATACTTGCTTGCTGAACATTTGTTTTTCCAAAAGGATACAGTTTATATTTAGATGTTGATTTTGCTTGTAGTTTCATGTTGTTCAGTAGCAATCACTAACACATGTTCCAGTGGTCCTTCTGTAATACTGGTATCCCTTGTTACAATGGCATTTGTGCATTATTTTGATCAAAGTAGATAGTGCACTGTTCCACAGAGATACATATCGTATTGATAAAACACAATATTCCAGCCAAAATATATGAGTGCTTTCAGACAAAAGAAATACATAAACCTAAGTGTGTTTGTTGTACAAAGCAGATGAACATTTAAAATGTATAGCATGCTGTGGGCGCCTGGCTGGCTCAGTCAGTACAACATGTGACTCCTGATCTTGGGGTCATGACGTGAGTTCAAGCTCCAGTTGGGCATTGAGCTTACTTTAAACACACACACACACACACACACACACACACACACACACACAAATGTATACATAGCATGCTAAATGCTGAAAATGCTGGGAATAACCATTAAACTTCTAAGTGGAAATGGTATAACCAGTTCTGTTTGATAAAGCAAGGGATATCTGTAGCTGGATGCTATAGACCTCAAATGCAGAAGCTTTAGGTCTATCTGTATTTTTCTGTGACACTAATGACTGTGATGTATGTCTGAAGGTAGAGTGTTGCCTACATTGCATGTATTGAAATGATTATAACCAACATTATAGTTTGTTCATCATGGTGCATGTTTATTATCAGACTACATCTAATACTAATTCATTTTGAAATTAGGTGGGCTTTCAGGTCCTTGATTATGGAAGATTTATAAATGTAAGCACAAAATGTAATAATAGTTGAATTACTTAGTTTCTGCTAATTTGTAATTCTTTATTAAAAAAGCACAGTATCCCTTTAAGTTTAAGTTTATCCTTATTGCCTGGAGAACTCTCATTCTGACTTCAACAGAGGAGTAAAGTCATTTTGTGAGCTATTTATTTATATTGTAATATAATTACTTTTTCCTCTTCTTGTACAGATTGCCATACTGAAGGTCAAAATATTTTATTCACTGATGGAGAATATATTAATCAGATCGCTGCTTCAAGAGATGTAAGTACTCTGAATCATGAATAGCTGGTGTAAATGGAATCCCTTTCTCATAAATTATTTGATATTAATTAGTATAAAGCCTTGGAAGACCAATTTATGCAACATAATACTCTGAGTGTTTTCTTTCTTTTAGGATGGCTTTGTTGTCAGAATTTTTGCCACAAGCACTGAACCTGTGCTACAACAAGAATTACAACTTAAACTGGCCAGAAAATGTTTACATGCCTGTGGAATCTCACTATTTGATCTGGAAAAGGACTTGCATATTATAAGTAAGATAGTCAAATAAGCCTTTTTCCCATATTTAAGTTTTCAGATTCTTTATTCTTTTGAAAACTAGTACAGTGTTTTAAGCATTGTGTGTTATATTTTGGCAGTTACTTTGCTGTTACTATAAAGCAACTTATGAATTAGTATGCATAAGTAACTAGGAAATATGGTCTTTAAACAGAGTGTGTTATATGAACACCATTTGAAGAAAGTGACTAATGATTTTCCGTTTTCATTTTAAATAGAGCAAATGAAAATAAACTTACATTTGATAAGAATTATAGGCAGCACTTAGGGACATCCTTAATTTATATGTTCTATCTTTATTCAATTATTTAAAATTTTGAAAACTTGCGCTGTAAATATTACTACATTAATATACATAGTTCCCTCATTGAAACCTTTGATTGTTAATTTGAACAGATTTTTAGGACAGCCATAGAATGATCCCATAGATTGTGACAATGGTAATTGGCCTAAAACACTGATTAATAATCTTTCATTTGGATGCAGAAATAGGGACAGCCACAGAATATTTCTGTCTTAGTATACATCCTCCTGCAGTGTCCTAGTAGTAATTAGGATCCTGTTTCCCAGGAGGCTCTCAATTTTGGTTTGCCGTGCTATTCCAGGTTTAATAGTGCCATTTCTAACGTGCAGGATTCTTTGCAAGACCCACCTTTTTTGACTATTATCTCATTAAGTTTAATAAACTTGACATGAGTGATATGCTTTGCCTATTTTAATTATGTAGTGTTTTTATAATTTTTCCATAGAAAGTACTGAATTGAAATTGTAGTTTTTAAATTTAAAAAGCTCATAAACTAGTAGTTTATATTAGACAAAATCATAAAATATACCATATGTAATTATTTACTCATAGTTTTAGAATTTGAAAATATGCATAAGGGTCTTTGTTATGTATGCACACATATGTATCCAAATTCATGGAGTAGCCACATGAAATGTTCTTCTGTAGAAAAGAGCATGGAACAAAGAATCTAATATACCTTAATTCAGATATCTGCACGACATTGTTCAAGCCCAAATGACTCTGTGTCTGGACTAACCTCATCGAGTAAACCAGGCAGTATAGTTGTGAAAATTGAATGGGATAAGGTTCATGCAATATGTAATGCCTACTACCTAATAATAATGCTCAATAAAAATTTCTTAATTCATTAATTCAAGAAATATTGCTGACATTGGTTTTAAACATTTTTTTATGTTTAAAAGATTAATTTGGCACTAGTTTGGAACAAGTTAAAAATTTATGGTAATTTTATCTTTCCTTGGAGTACTGTACATACCGTTAATTTTTTTTTAACTCAGGAATATGGCATATTTTGTCATCCTTGTTTTTCCTTTTTTAATTGAAGTGTAGTTGACACACAATGTTACATTAGTTTCATAGTGATTCAACAAGTTTATCGTCATCCTTGTTTTTGAATGGTACTGAGTTGACGTTTCAGTAACTCAAAATAGTGCAAAATTATGATTTACATTGTTCATATTAAAATATAGTAATATTTATGAGTCTTGTATTATCAGGCACAGGATTTGATGAGGAGTCAGCAATTCTTGGTGCAGGACGAGAGTTTGCACTAATGAAAACAGCAAATGGAAAGGTAAATTACTCTTTAGTATTAAAAATGAACATCCTGTGTTTTATGAGATAACCAATTGGTATAATCAGTTGATTAGTTTATTTACATAGACTACATGTTTAAACATAATTGAAATTTTGATTTTAAATTATTTTATGTTTTTTTAATATGGTGAAATTTTATTCATGTTGAAATAGTATAAAAGAAAATTGTGAGATACAAGAGTATAAAACTTTATAAAATATTACATTTTTACAGATATTTTAATTATGGAGCTTTTAATTCTTTGGGAATGAATTCATATTTTGAGTTTATTTTGATGAACACATTTATTGCAAATTTCTATAAATGTTCAGAAATATAAAGACTACAATTTGGGGAAAGTAGGAGCAAGTATAAGTGACAGATTGTAGAGCTCAGTCTGTAGAGATAGAAGCTTCTTTCTTATCTCATGGGTGTGAGAATAAAGTGAGGTAATTACAAGAATTTTGAAAATTACAATGACTAGGGGAACCTGGGTGACTTACTCGGTTAAGCATCTGACTTTGGCCCAGGTCATGATCTCATGGCTCATGAGTTCGAGCCTTGGATCCTGCTTCAGATTCTGTGTCTCCCTCTCTCTCTGCCCCTCCCCCGCTCATGCTCTGTCTGTCTCTCTCAAAAATAAACATAAAATTAAAAAAAAGGAAAATTAAAATTACTAGGCAATTATGGTATATTAATATGTAGGGTTTTTTACATTAGGAAAACAAGTTGAGAATTTTATCCATTTCCTCCTCTTGTGAGGTTAGAGTATATTTGTGAAGTATATTTTTATTCATATCTATCAGGAGACTTATAATGGAAGATTATAGATACCTTGAATAGATACGAAAAAGCTATTATGAACTGGATCTTTAGAAAAATATGTATATTTCTCTCCTACTGATGGATCTCACTGAAGTATAAAAACAGTTTGGTTTCTTGTTATTTTTGTTTTTTAGTAAGATATGAAAGTCTTTTTTTCTCTCATGTGAAACCTGGTACACTACCCCAAAAGGCACCATAATTCTCTCTCTTACTCCCTCTTTTTTTTTTTTTTTTTTTTTTTTTTTTTTGATATATAAGATATATTATACTGGCAAGTACCAGAGTCTTGGAATCAAGCAAGGTGGTCCTTCAGCAGGAAAATGGGTTGAACTACCAATTACAAAATCTCCAAAGATTGTACACTTTTCAGTTGGACATGATGGTTCTCATGCCCTTTTAGTTGCAGAAGATGGAAGCATATTCTTTACAGGATCTGCTAGTAAAGGAGAAGATGGAGAGTCAAGTAAGTTGACTAAGAAACTGGACATTCAGTAAAAATATTGTGGAATTTATTAACATAAGGTATATCAATTTCAGTAGCCTTACCAGATTAACCTTACCAGATTAATAGATGATTTTACATTGTGGCATAATCGGTTAATAGTGTACTGTTCATTAAAGAACTGGGATTGCTGATTTCATTGTAGAGTTGATTTTCATAAGTTTTTATATATACTTTTTGTATGTATATATTGCTATTCATCTGTTTTGCTCATTGGTGTTATTTTTAAAAACGTATTTATTACAATATATTATCTTAGGTCACCCAAAATTTTATAAGGAATATATATTTCAGAATGAAGTAAACCTTTTGTTGCCTTGTGTAGTAGCTTTAGTTATGGGTCACTATTCTTGATGTTATTTCTCTGTAATTAAATCATTCCTAAACATTGAAAACAATTTTATCTCTTATCTTTCCTATACTTCTGTTCAGTCTTTCTCAAAGTGCCATTTTTCTCTTTTTGTAACTTCCCATATACTTTACATGTTTTAGCACAGTGGAGTAGCATCTTATGAGGATTAGGTTTGAATTCAACATCTAATGTAAAAATCATGTGTAAATAAAAGTTACTTGGGAAAAAAAACACATAACGTGTATTGCCATCTCAGAAACTTGAGCACAGCCAAGTTTCCTTCTAGCATTTGGAGGACCTTGTTCTTTCTTTGAGCATGAGATAGTGTAGTTGCTGTATACATGTATATGGGTCATGTTATATGAAAAAGTATAATGGTATTTTTAAGTCCCAGAGTTGTGCCCAGCATAGCAATATGTTTTTATTCTGAAAGGCATCAAGTACTGGGATTGACCAAAGGAACAGAAGATTGATATTCCTTGTCTTTTGCTCATTTCAGGGATTTCGTTTTTGATATCAGAGGCTACTTGGATCATCATCCACATTTAAATTTATTTAGTCTTTCTCCATATATGTATTTCCCATCCACTAACTGGGTGCTTAAACATGTGTTCAACGAATGAGGAACTGATTTCACTTTCTAGGATCTAGCATAAGAAAGCACGTGAGGTAGAGTTTGAGAGAAAAGGGAATTTATATACGTATATAGTTATATATGATGGTGAAATGGTGTTTATATATATATATACATATATATACACACACACACATATATATATATAATATATATATATGGAATAGTGTTAATAATGTGTAAATAGCTAATACAGAGATTGAGGTCCCCAGAAGTTTGTTAGAAATTGGTGTTTCTCGGGGCGCCTGGGTGGCGCAGTCGGTTAAGCGCCCGACTTCAGC